GAGGAAGACCCCCTAGGANATCCACACCAGAATAAATAGAGTTTTCCGAAAAAACCTGCTAGTGGAGGAAGACCTCCTAGGGATAAGAGACATAGGGCTAAAGAGAGAGCCAAAAAAGGATCTTTTGTGTATAATCCTGCATAATCTCTAATGTTATCAGTTCCGGTACGTAGACCAAATAATACAATGCAAGCAAAAGCTCCTAGATTCATGGAGATATAGAACAACATATAAGTTATCATGGGACAAGAAATAGCGGAAGAATCTGGATAATGTAGGATCCTAATCAGGTTAGTTTTACCGTAGAAGCCACTCATTTACAATACATACATGGGCAAGTCTGTATACTTGAGACCAAAATGAGTTTTGATTTTACAGCTATTTATGGCTTACATACTATTGAGGACAGAAAAAGTCTATGGCATGATTTAAAAAAAAATCACAATGCTCAATCAGGACCATGGCAAACAATGAGAAACTTCAATGTAGTGATGCATATTAGGGATAGAATAAATGGGACTCTGATTTAGGAAGCGGAGGTTGCAGACTTTAAAGAGTTCATGCAGGACTGTCATATGGCAGAGTTGAGAAGCATAGGGGCAACTTATACATGGTCGAACAACTCAGTGAACAGTAAGATAGATATATGAGTTCTAAATGCTGAATAGATGATGAAGTACTCACTTTTTGAAGTCATAGTAATGACGCCATACTTCTCATACCACAGTCCATTAGAACATAAACTGGTGAATCAACAAAGTAAAACATATAGACCTTTCCAATTCTTCAACATTATAGCAGAACACAATAATTTTCAATAAAAAGTCTTGGAAGGATGGAATAGCAGGGAAAAAGAGGGAAACATGCAAAGTATATGGGCAAAGCTGAAGAGAGTTTAAACAAGAAATAAAATATATTAACAGTACTCATTACTTAGGTATCGAGGAAAAGATAAAAAAAACCAAACAACAACTGTTAGCAATCCAGGAGGAAATAAGGTTAAAGGGGAGGACATAAGCACTTAACCAGGAAGAGAAATTAGCTAGAGAACAACTGAGAAAAATGGGTCCTTATTGTGTTACAAAACAAAAGTCTAGAAACCAATAGTTAGGATTTTATAAGCAACTACTAGGGTCAGCAGCTGATTCTATACCTGCAATTAATCCCCTTGTTATGAAAGATGGGCCCTGTTTAAGTAGGGAGATACAGCTGTAACTAATAACACCAGTATCCAGGATGGAAGTGGTCAATGTACTGAAAGATATTGATGATAAAAAAGCACCAGGTTGTGATGGTTTCAATACTTTCTTCTTTAAGAAAGCCTGGAGCATCATTGGAGATGAGGTAACATATGTTGTCCTGCACTTCTTTCATATAAAGAACCTTTACCTGTATATCAATTGCACTACAGTCACATTCATACCAAAAGTTAAACCCCCTTATACTATCAAGCAATTTAGGCCTATATCTTGTTGCACAATCCTTTATAAACTGATATCCAAAATACTGACAACAAGTCTACAAGGTGTAATGGATAATATAATTGATCAAAGTCAATCAATTTTTTTTGGTAGAATTATATCAGACTACATAATCATAAGCCATGAATTGGTCAAGGGGTATGGGAGAAAGGGGGTATCCCCAAGGTGTATGATCAAAGTTGATATGCAAAAGGCATATGATTCATTAGAATGGCCTTATTTGGAACAAATTTTGTATGTTGCAAATTTCTCATATTTGTTTATAGAATGGATCATGACCTGTGTAAGAAGTGTCTCTTACTCAATCATTATCAATGGACAACCAAGTGCTCCATTCCAGGCTAAGAAAGGACTAAGACAAGGGGATCCACTTTCGCCATTCCTTTTTGTTCTTGCCATAGAGTATCTCAAAAGGAAGCTCAAGACATTGTAGAGAAATCCATACTTCAACTACCATCCTAAATGTTCAAAGCTACAGAATACAGATTATCCAGTTAGGTTTGCTGATGACCTGATGCTCTTCTGTAGAGGAGATGTAATCTCAGTCCAATTACTCATGAAATGCTTCAATGATTTCTCAAAAAGTTTAGGACTGATAGCAAATAAAGATAAAAGCTCCATTTATTTTGGAGGGATGAGCATGGAGGTGCAAGGGGAAATCCTAACAACACTGGGGTTTGCAAAAGGGGAATTACCTATTAGATATCTATTGGTCTCTCTGAGCTCCAAAAGACTCTCCCTAGTTCAATGTTAGTCACTCACATAAAAGATACTTGGAAGAATTACCTCATGGATCACAAAATACCTATCATATGTTGGAAGACTTTAATTGATCAAGAATGTGCTATTTTCGGTTCAAAACTTTTGGTTTAAGATTTATGTGCTACCAAAAAATGTTGTGAAGCTGATTGAGGCAACATGCATGAGCTTCCTCTGGACAGGCATAGCAGAAATATCAAATAGGGCTTTGATGGCATGGAAAAAAGTCTGTTGGCCCAAAATAGCAGGAGAATTCAATGTGATTCACATTGAAATATGAAATAAGGCAGCAGTCCTGAAACTCCTGTGGAACCTTTGCACAAAAAAAAGATAAATTGTGGGCTAGAGGGGTCCACATATACTATGGGAAGGGAAAACACATCTGGGAGGTGCAAATGAAGCAAGCATCATGGGTGCTGCTAAAAATTTAAAGGCCAGGATATACCTAGAAAAGGTAGGCATGAAAGACACAAATTTGCTGAAACAGAACCCCTTCTCCATAAAAAAGATGTATCTTCAACTCAGAGGAGATTTCCCAAAAGTACCATGAAGAAGGCTAACTTGCAACAACTATGCTAACCCTAGATAGAGCTTTATATTGAATCTGGCTTTGCAAGGGAAGTAACATACAAAAGATAAGGTGGCAGGATGGGGGGTTAATTTCACTGATGGTCATTGAACTATCTTTCAATTTCACTAAAGTCATATAACTATTCTTTGTCACTTAAAAGTAACTAAACTTTATCATTGTCACTTAAAAGTCATTTTGCCTCGAACCCCTACCATAAATATGACATGCCATTAAATTTTATGATAAAAATCCAAAAATAAATGCCACATAAGCCAATATGGGTCATACCCATTTTAGATCCATTTATCCTTTAATGTGATTTGATCCATAATCCAAATGAGTTTCGATAAAAAAAAATATTAATTTTACATTAGTTTAAAATGATTATCCTATACTATAAAATTTTGCCTTTTCTGTCACAACACATTCATAATTATTCTATACTAAAATAATCTATACTAGAAAATTCTTATCTTGTTTGTATGCCTCATCTGAGTCATTTTATAACTCTATTGAAGCTAAAATTACTACTGCATACAATAGTATTTTAAAATGACTCGGATAGGGCATACAAACAAAATAAGAATTTTCTAGCATAGATTATTTTAGTATAGAATAATTATGAATGACTCGGATGGGGCATACAAACAAAATAAGAATTTTCTAGCATAAATTATCTTAGTATAGAATAATTATGAATGTGTTGTGACAGAAAAGATAAAACTTTATAGTATAAGATAATCATTTTAAACTAATGTGGAATTAATATTTTTTTTTTATCGAAACTCATTTGGATTATGGATCAAATCACATTAAAGTATAAATGGATCTAAAATGGGTATGACCCATATTAGCTTATGTGGCATTTATTTTTGGATTTTTATCATAAAATTTAATGTCATGTCATATTTATGGTAGGGGTTTGAGACAAAATGACTTTTAAGTGACAATGATAAAGTTTAGTTACTTTTAAGTGACAAAAAATAGTTATATGACTTTAGTGAAATTGAAATATAATTCAATGATCATTAGTGAAATTAACCCAGGATGGGTATGACAATATCAAAGATGTGTTTTATGTGATGAGGGAATTGAAGTCATTCCACATTTAATTTTTGAATATAGGATGGCTAAAGAGATCTGGGGGAGATTACTGAAATAGCAAGGGTTTAATAGATCAGTGCTGAAGTAGAAAGAGGAAATTGAATGGGCAGTCACAACAATGAATGGAAAGAAAGCTATGGCTGAAGTCACAATAGTGGATGAGATCCTTCATTTGATAGTCCAGTATATTTTACGTAAAGCAAATCAAAATGCCAAAAATAGCAAATAGATTGAAAGAACGGACTTTTATCCTTAGGCATTTAAGTAGCATATGTTAGTGAGATAGGTAGTACCTAGCAGTTGGAGCGATATGCTCAACTTGCAGGTGTCTATTTTTTTTGTCATGTGTAGTTCGAAACTTTGTATATAATGTTACTTGGTAATAAAATTCTTTTATTTACCAAAAATAAAATGGCATATGTAGGACCAAAAGTATCAAAAATCATCCTTCCTTAATTAAGTTTTGTATCAAGTCAAACTCGGACATACAAACAAATTGAAACGGAATGAGTAGATGAATTCTTCTCATTGTCTAAGTTTCGATGAATATAGTAACCGATACTCCATGAGATTAGTCAAGATGTGTGAGGGTAGTCTGGAAACCACTGTTATGTATAAAGAAAAGTAGGAATTCTGAACTAGTAGTGCGAGACAAAGTTATTCAACGGTAAAAACCATCCAGAGAAAGGGGACAATATATGTTGTTCCAATAGAAGAAACACTTCCTAGGAAATAATAGTATAATACTCTTGACAAAACCTCAACGTTCTATCTATAAAGTGGCAGTACAACGGTCCATTTGTTCATCATTTCTCCATGCACATAAACATCAGGCAAGTTTATAATTTGGAGACAGAGAATTCATAATGAGTGTTGTTATGTACTATATACTTTGACTTTTTTCATAATATAAAGATAGTTCGACTCAAAAAATGGATTAAATTGGACCTGCAAAATTCAACTTAACATGTACACAACTTTGACCTAATAATGCAAAGCACTAACAAATATTCCTGAGGATATTTATATCATGTTTGAAGAAAATTTCTTAACTAATAGATGTAAATAAAATTAATACAGTCAAATTCCAAAAATTGGGATACAAGTATTATATGTATGTACAAAAATGTTGGTGGGAATATATCAAATTCAATAAAAAATTCTAGCAGTTCTGATATATTGTTACAAAATATGCTATTACTGCCACAAACTAAACTCTACCATATTAACAAAAAATCACTCTGAACGAAAAAGAGCAAAATAAAAAGGGACTCCAAAATATATAGTTTCCTTTAATGAAAAATCCCAACTTGAGCAGTAAAATTTTGAAAATTATAAAAGGCAAGAGCGCACTTTTCCCTTTCAAAATTTCCAAAAAGTTTTGCTTTGAATTTTCTTTGTTCCCAACCAAAAAAAATTCTCCAATTTATTGAACTTTTTCCATTTTCTTTCCTTGCACAATCATAAGAGAAAGATTATTCATCTCATACCTTCCTGAAGAAAACCGGATCGAGTCACCAAATTTCATAACTCGGTTATCAAACCGAGCCGACTCACTTGCTTTCCCAAACGTTAGCAACTTTGGACCCTCTTTTCCAATTTTCAAATTCTCAATTTTCTCACTCAACTCATTAACCAAATTCCATAATAACTCAATTGAAGGCTTTTTCACTGTAAACAAAACACATAATCTCTCTTTACATTCTTCTAATCTCTTCAAAATACAACCCAACTCGACCGATTCACCAAAACTCAGACAATTCAGTCTTTCCTTAAACTCACTGAGTCTTGATAAAAGTTCATTAACTGTCGATAAATAATCATTACCCAATAATCCAATTACCTCATACAACAATTTGTTACCTTCTAAAAGGAGGGAATCAGGTACTTTGCATGTTTCTTCAATCAACTGAACCAAAGAATCAACGTCCCTGATTAAATCTGAGTTCAAAAAAGATGAGATTTTTTCTTCTTGTTTATCTTTCTCGGAACTGCATGAAAAAGAAGAAAGAAAATAACCTAAGATTCTTGAGGTAAAAAGTAAGGTTTCGATATATCTTGCGTAAAATCTGATCCATGCAGAGATTGCCCACGTGGCAGAGGTGGCGCCGTCGCGGAAGGCGGAGAGTTTTAAGTAGTTATGTCCGCCGGTGGCCGGAAAAACGGAGAGCTGGTCTTGTAAAATAAAGGGTCCACGTTTAATTATATGGTGGATAATAAGGAGGCATTTTAGGGCGACGGTGGAGTCTCCGGTGCGGTGGAGACGGTCCATGATGATGACGATAAGGGAAGAAGCGGTGGCGCGTGAGCTGTTACCGAGGGATAAGAGGGCGGAGACATGGTGGTCGTCCGGCGGCGTTGATGGTGTGTGACTGGTGGCGCGTAGGACGGCGAGGTGGAGAGATAGATTACTTGGTTTAGAGATGAAAGCAGCTTTGGATTGTGAAGCTTTGTCTTTAATGGCGCCTATGAGATCTCTTAGTGTTGTTATTTTCTTCCCCATAGAGAGAGAGAAGTGAGAGGGAGAGGAAATAATTGATAAAGGGGAAAGAAAGAGTTTGTTTTTATGGTTTGAATGAATCTTGGTTAAAGTTGTGACTACGTAAGATATTTTTATATTTCATATTTTATATTTTATATGATTTCTATATAAATATACTTTTGTTCACTTTATACTAATAGGAGTAGTTTATATGAAACATTTTAATGGACAAAACGCGAAACGGTCCCTTTTGACAACTCGGTAACACATGGAAGAGACTTTAGTTGAAAAATAAGTACATATAATTGAACCTTGTTTTTTTTTTTTTTATGTGAGGTTTAATATGAACTAAGTTGAACCTTGATAGTTAAGTTATAAAGCAGTAATTAATGTAACGGGTTAAACGTGAAACAATTAAGGTTCATTGTTTTTTTTCTTCTTGTTAAAAATGGTAAGTTTTCCAATATGATTTTAACCATAATTAGGAGGATATTATCACTGTATAGGATAAAATATGTTTATATTTAATGATCGCATGAGAAAGCGACAGGTGGAGTCGAAAATAGAAAATAGCTGGGTCCGAAGGTAATGATCTCGTTTGTTACCGGAGAGAATGACATTAATAAAGGCGAAATAAATGTGTATCACATGAAGAATATTATATAGCATTAAGTGTATGCTCCGTTACAGAGAATATGACATTCACCGCCTACCGTTACATATTCTTCAATGACCCTCATAATTGTCATTTAAGAGGGGCTTGATCCTATGATCTTGATCTCTAGGTGCAACTATAAATAATGAGCTCTATTATCATTGTAAGAGACACGAATTTTTGATAAGCATACACTAGATTTTGTTCAAAGCTCAATAATATTTTACTTTCTTGTTTATTTATACTGTTCTTACTTCCTCCGGAAGCTCTGTTCCCGGGCTCAAGATCTCTATAGTCTTATCTCGATTCTAATGCTAAGCCTTACACTTTTGTTTAACTCATTTATCATTTTAGGATCAAATCGATTCACTTATCTATAAATCATTGTACTAAATTCAACTGTACTATTTTACGGGATGAACATAACCTTAGTCGCACATGACTTACGTTTAAATGAGCATATCTATCAATATATAATGAATTGAGATTTAAGCTATATATCAAAATAAAGCCCTTGAAGTCTAGTTTCTAACACTTCAAACCGTTTGTCATTTCGATGTTCCTATAAAATGTTATAGGCATTTTACTGAACACTATCTTGTCAGAAAAATGGGCCACGTTTTGAGCGCCCAGGAAGGCGCCAGGCTCGAATCAAAATGCCAAAGTCAGAAGTAAAATGTTTGGGGCATTTTGAATGGCGCTGGGTGCGGACCGTGACGCCAAAGGCATGAAATTGAAATAAAAGGGACGGAGAGAGAGAAAATAGCCTCATTTCTTAAAGATTAAATCTCCTCTCTCATCCTCAAGTCATCCAAGAGTTCTCTTACTACCTAAGGTGAATTTTCAATGCGATTAAAGTTAGAATACTACTTCCAAACATCAATTCTAACAATATTCCATTTCAAAATCACTAGATTCTCAACAAGAACTCAAGAACAAGATCTCTCCACTAACCTAGGATTTTACGATTCAAGGTAAGTTTCGTAACCGCTTTCAACTACGATTGTTAAAGAGGTTTATGGTTGATATTTGCTCCTATAAACTACTACAAGAACTTAGATTAACGATGAACCCTAGGAGGAGAGAAGAATCAAATCTAGGGTTTCTATATTTTGGAAATCTTGGAACTTCTAGTATTGATTCTTAAATTAACTATGTATAGATTTTTTTGATGAGTTGAACTCGTTGGATTGGAGCAAACGAAGGTATTCAAAAGCAAAGAATCAAGGTGAGTAGAGACAATGCTTTTACTAAAATTATCTTCTCATAAAGATCATGCCATAAGTTATTGTTAGACTGTATAGGGTGTTAATGTGGGCTCTGAATGGAACAAGTGGACTCACATTATCCATTAGAATTGTAGAAAAGATCTTAGATGATTATCATGGTTAATAACCCAAGAATAGTCTGTTGTTCCATAAATCATGCCTTATGCATTCATGACTTGCATATGTTTCTTTAATGTATAGACTATAATAAAAATTTCTTTTACATGATTTTATGGAACTGTTTTGACGAGAACTATGAAGATATATCACTGTTTTAAATTTTGTGATGCAAGAATTACTCAGAAGAACATTTTGGGAGTTTACTTAGATCTCTGAGAAGGGTTCATAACCTCTAGTGGTTTATGTTACCCCGAAACTACTCGTGCCAGAGTAGGAGATTAGTGTACCGTTGGTTCGGGCACTATGATAGAAGTGCCCTAGTAAGGCACAAGAACGCGAGCATGCTAGAACCTTGAACTGTGAGGCACCATAGGAATGGGGTCCAGGCGATCGGGCTGGGATCGTCCACTATACTGATCATATGGTGACATTTTCAGAATCAGAATCAGAAAGAATGTCAGAATCGATGGAGCTCCCCAGAAAAGAAAAGAAACGAAAAGGAAAGAAAATGCTACATTTGTTTTTCAATGTATTCAAGATAATAGAATGAATTTCTTTTTGAAATACTATTTCATTTGAAGATTCGAAAAAGTATTTACTTTAAATTATATCGAATTGTGTTGTGATACATTGCATAACAAAAATAGAACAGAATAGAGAAGCCAAGATGGTTCGCTCGGTCAAGTTCAGACACCGAGTGCCGATTACGATTTGGTTAGAAATCGGATAGTGACATATAGTAATTAGATGATTTCTCTTGTCACACTAAAAATTGCTAAGTGGGGGCCTCCAAATGAATAATTTTTTTGGTGTGTTTATCCATAATAAGGTCTTTTCTTTTCTTCTATTTGACATGGAAAAGAGAGATCTTATTTTATAATATCAATAAAGACCATAAAATTTGGAAATTGTCTAATCTTTTATGTTAAAATAAACTCCCAAAACCTCACAGTAATCACTTAGGGCGCCCCTGTAAGTCTAACATGTGTCTATTTCTTATTACAATTGTAAAATTCTTGAGTATGCCAAATGGTGTCCACGTGGGCAGGGTGATGTGACGGCCCATCACGTTAATTTAAATTGTGTGTGAATCTCAATTGGAAGAAAGAAAAAAAGATGAATAGTAAGAATTAAGATTTCCATGAAATGGAATTAATACTTGATCATGGGTACACCTAACAGTGAACAATCAAATAAAGACAATTAATTAAGATAAATGAGATTTTTTTATTGGAAATGTCATTTTCTTATGATGAGTGTTAGATTAAACAATCTACGCAGGTGAATTATGCCCATCTACTTTCTTATATTCCTTTGGTGTTCTCTATATTTGTTTTCCAATAATTGTGTAAGCAAAAAGATAAGAAACTCTGACTTTTCTGCATTTAACTTTCGACAATAACCGTTTAAAAAAGTCATAAAGACTAATCCTTTTGCTCTATCACAAAAAGACAAAACAAAAGAAATGGCTTTCACTTTTCTTCCTTCCGCATATGTTTTAATTACAGTAGTTTTGAAAATGAAAGAGAAGAAAATGCAGGTTTCGTATTATGATCTCAATATTATACACTATGTTATAAATATATTTTATTATAGATGTCCATTTAGTACTCTCTTATAAATAAGTTTCCTGAAAAAACTTATCCATATGGGACTCTGCCGTAAATATGTTTATCTATTTAGTACTCAATTGGAAATAAGCCTCCTGAAAAAGCTTATCCTTTCGGTACTCCATTATGGATAAATATTACCTCCGGTAGAAGATTATTAATATCTGGTACAATAACAACTTACAAGCAGCTTACACATCAGCTTAGAGTAGCAGCTTACAAGTAACTTACACAGCAGCTTGCAGTAGCAGCTTACAAGCAACTTACACAGCAGCTTGCAGCAGCAGCTTACACAACAACTTCCTTTCTTCTATAAATAGAGGAGAATTCAGTTCATTATGTACATCAGTTTGAAGTTGAATAAAAATATATCAATCTCTCTTTATACTTGTCTTCGATTTATTTACCTTACAGTTTTTATTTTATAACATGTTATCAGCACGAGTCTCTAATTTCATCATCACTACCTGACTATGAGGCAACATACTGCTCTTGTGCGTGGTCAAACCGAGTTCATTCAGAGCATTTTGAGGAAACTTACATCCTTGGAGTGGTAAACAACATATTGGTTTTGTTAATTTCCAACTCTGTGAAGAGATGAAATCCTTCTGATGTCATTTCTCAAATATAAGACTTATTAATTTATAATTTTAATTTGATTTCCTTCATGAGCTTGAAAAATTATGCTTATTATCTATGTCCATCACGTGCTAATTCTAAGCAACTAGTGATGTAGGACTTGTAGGTATATTGTGATTTGAAATACAAATTTGAAGGCTAAGAAGACAATGGATATTGAATCAACTTGCTATGTTACGTGCTCTGTATACGTATTAGCATATAACAACTATATTTTTTTTATATACTTGTTTTCATCATGTTGTCATCTCCATAAAAGATTACAAAGTGAATAACAATGTCAGATCCATCTAAACTCCAGCAGAGTTTATGAGAAATATATAATAACCAACAATGGTAATATTTTCTAAGTCTCGTTATGACTTAACTTCATGGTTCACTTGAACTCCAGCAGAGTACGGCCACCAGAAGCGACTATGTTTCATATATCTCATTGTAACTAAATTTTGTTAACCACCAGAAGTGTTATATGTCTATGACCACCAGAAGTGATAATTTAAGCTTGATATGGTTACAACGAAGATAAGTTACATAAAATTCTCTATATTATATTCATACTTCGATTTATTTCTGAAGTAGCAAATATCTTAAAAGAGGTTCGAAGCGTCACAATTTGATGTGATTATGCACGTTCAGATAATTATATTCTATCTCCTGAAGGAAGAGAACTTTTGATAATATTAATCCATTTCCTGAAGTGAATGTGACGATATTAAATATAAATGCGCTCTTGATGTAAATATATTATGATTCACCTCTAGAAGAGGTAATACGATTGAGAGAATATATTCTCAATATTTCATATTTCAAATT